GGTATATATATATCCAATAATTTCCTTATCCAGTCTTCAGTTGATGGACATTTGGGTTGACTCCATATCTTAGCTTTTGTGAAGTGAATTGCAATAAACATGGGGGTAAAGATAACTCTTTTATATGCAGATTTCATTTCCCTTGAGTAAATTCCCAGGAGTTAGGTCACTGGGTTATATGGTGGGTCTATATTCAGTCTATTTCTGAGATATCTCCATACTGTCTTCCATAGTGGCTGTAAGAGTTTATATTCCCAGGGTGCCTTATTCCCCAAATTGTTGCCAGCATTGGTTACTTGTTAATTTCTGTATGAAAGCCATTCTAAGGGAGATGAGGTAAAATCTCATTGTGGTTTTGATTTGCATTTCCCTGATGGCTAGTGATCCTCAAGATTTTTTCACGTCTGTTGGCCATTTGGATTTCCTCTTTTTGAAAAATGCCTGTTTAAGTTCTTTGCCCATTTCTTAACTGGGTTGTTTTGTTGTTGTTGAGTTCCTTGAGCTCTTTATATGTTATGGCTATTAATCGTTTATCAGTTGCATACTTTGCAAATAATTTCTCCCATTCTATTGGTTGCCTTTTAACTTTGCTGAGTGTTTCTTTTGCAGTGCAGAAGCTTCTCAATTTGATATAATACCATTTGACAATTTTGGCTTTGATTGCCTGAGCCTCTAGGTATTTTCTAAGAACTCTTTACCTATGCCAATATCTTCTAGGGTTTCTGCAATGTTTTCTAATAATTTGATGGTATTGGGTTGTAGGTTTATGTCTTTGATCCATTTTGAATGGATAATTGGATAAGGTATATGATAGGGTTCTTGGTTTATACATCTGCATGTGGAGATCCAGTTTTCCCAGCACTATTGGTTGAAGAGACTGTCCTTGCTCCAGGGATTGCTTTTAGCTCCCTTGTCAACAATAAGTTGGTTGTATATGCATGTGTTGATTTCTGAAGTTTCTATTCTGTTCCATTTATCTATCCATCTGTTTTTGTTCCAGTACCAAGCTGTTTTGATTACAACTTCCTTGTGGTATGTCTTGAAATCTGGTATTGTGATGTCTCTGGCTTTGTTTTTGTTGTATAAGATTGCTTTAGCATTCAGGGTCTCTTGTGTTTCCATATGAATTTCTGTATCCATTTTTTCTATATCTGAGAAGAATGTGTGTGCTTGGTATTTTGATTGGTATCACATTAACTTTGAATTCACAGTTCTGCATAGCTTCACGGTTTACAGTTAAGACGACTATAGATCAAATGATTTGTGCTTCCATTTTCCTTTTCTATCAATTATAAAGAGAGGAGAGGCCCTTATGACCTCCAAGGCATGCCAAAAAAAAAGAAAGAAAGAAAATCCCACAAAATAAAGAAATTCCTGTTTCCCCCTCCTTATTTGAGGAATGAGCCAGCAGATGGGAGATATCTTTGTCTGTTTCTCTCTCCCTCCCTCCCTCTCCCTCTTTCCCTCTATCTCTCTTCTTCTTCCTCTCCCTCTCTTCCTCTGCATGTGTAAGTACCTTTCAAATTTAAAAAAAGCACATGTTCAAGTATTTCTTTAAAAATTCACAAGTTGCTAAATAATTGTTCTCATTGACAGCATGACCTTAAATATTAGTTCAGAGATGACTTCTGTGTCCATCGATTCACAGCCCAGTCTAAGCAATTCTTTCTCTTTGATCTGCTTCCTGGACTGAGATCGGTGTCTGGAAGGTTCTCCTTAAATTCTGAACACTTTAGAGAACAAGGAGGCTACTCCAGGGTCAGGCCCTCATTATTTCAAGAGCCTATAACTTGTTTTTAGAGGAAAAGCATTTTCTTCTTTTTTAAAATTTTATTTAGTAAATATAAATTTCCAAATTACAGCTTATGGATTACAATGGCTTCCCCCCGCTTATCTTCCCTCCCACCTGCAACCCTCCCCTCTCCTGCTCCCTCTCCCCTTCCATTCACATCAAGATTCATTTTCAATTCTCTTTATATACAGAAGATATATTAGGTTTATATTTAGTAAAGATTTCAACAGACTGTACCCACATAGACCATAAAGTGTAAAATACTGTTTGAGTACTAGTTATAGCATTAAATCACATTGAACAACACATTAAGGACAGAGATCCTACATGAGGAGTAAGTGCACAGTGACTCCTGTTGTTGACTTAACAAATTGACACTCTTGTTTATGGCATCAGTAATCTCCCTAGGCTCTTGTTTGAGTTGCCAAGGCTATGGAAGCCTTTTGAGTTCACTGGCTCCGATCTTATTTAGACAAGGTCATAGTCAAAGTGGAAGTTCTCTCCTCCCTTCAGAGAAAGGTACCTCCTTCTTTGGCCCATTCTTTCCACTGGGATAATACTCGCAGAGATCTTTCATTTAGGTTTTGTTTTGTTTTGTTTTGTTTTTGTTTTTGTTTTTGTTTTTTGCCAGAGTGTCTTGGCTTTCCATGCCTAAAATACTCTCATGGGCTCTCCAGCCAGATCTGAATGCCTTAAAGGCTTATTCTGAGGTCAGAGTGTTGTTTAAGACATCTGCCATTCTATGAATCTGCTGTGTATCCTGCTTCCCATGCTGTATCATTCTCTCCTTTTTGATTCTATCAGTTAGTATTTGCAGACACTAGTCTCGTTTATGTGATCCCTTTGACTCTTAGACTTATCAGTATGATCAATTGTGAACAGAAATTGATCACTTTGACTAGTGAGACGGCATAGGTACATGTTACCTTGATGGAATTTAATTGGAATCCCCGGCCTGTTTCTAACTTTACCATTTGGGGCAAGTCCGCTTGAGCATGTCCCAAATTGTACATCTCCTCCCTCTCTTATTCCCACTCTTATATTCAACAGAGATAAATCTTCAGTTAAATCTAAACACCTAAGAATAATTGTGTGTTAATTACAGAGTTCAACCAATAGTATTAAGTAGAACAAAAAAATACTAAAAAGGATAAAATATTAAGTTGTACATCAACAGTCAGGGCAAGGGCCAATCAAGTCACTGTTTCTCATAGTGTCCATTTCACTTCAACAGGTTTCCTTTTTGGTGCTCGGTTAGTTGTCACCGATCAGGGAGAACATATGATATTTGTCCCTCTGGGACTGGCTTATTTCACTCAGCATGATTCCTACATTTTGTTGCAAATGACCGGATTTCATTGTTTTTGACTGCTGTATAGTATTCTATTTATCCAGTCTACTATTGATGGGCATTTAGGTTGATTCCAGGTCTAAGTTATTGTGAATTGAGCTGCAATAAACATTAAGGTGCAGACATCTTGTTTGTTTGCCAATTTCATTTCCTTTGGGTAAATTCCAAGGAGTGGGATGGCTGGGTCATGTGGTAAGATTATATTCAGCTTTCTGAGGAATCTCCAGACTGACTTCCATAGTGGCTTTAACAATTTGCATTCCCACCAACAGTGGGTTAGTGTCCCTTTTTCCCTCACATCCTCGCCAGCATCTGTTGTTGGTAGATTTCTGTATGTAAGCCATTCTCACTCGGGTGAGGTGAAACCTCATTGTGGTTTTGATTTGCATTTCCCTGATTGCTAGTGATCTTGAACATTTTTTCTTGTTTCTGTTGGCCATTTGGATTTAGAGGAAAAGTTTTTAATTCCTCAAAGTTGAGCTATCATCTGAAGTCAAACCAAGAAAACTTTTGGCACCTTAATTACTAAATACACACACGCACACACCCTTAAACTTACACACTACAGGACCAGTCCATAGATGATCTTGCTCACTCATCTATTCCTCCTGGAGGATATTTTATATTGTGCTAGGAACATGGAGTTCTCTCAGATAAGAAGGGACTTTCTGGAACAGCCCAGGCTTTCTTTTTATCCCTTCTAGAACAAGATGTCTTGCAACACTTTTGCTCAGTGACCAGTTACTCCCAGGTATAAATCCAGAGCAGGACGCCTCTGAAGTCTCTAAGCTGCAGTGCTACATTAGCCATATGCAGAAGAGACTCCATGCATCTGAATAGCTTTCCTAATGAAGGGAGCAGCCGTGAGCCGCCATAAAAGTGGCCTTGATGAAATAGAAAAACAGGAACTGAGACAAACAGTTCCAGAAACAGTCTTGGGAAATGGGGGAGTAAACTGGTTCACAGAGAAAGCAGTTAGCTACTATTCAGAGATATGGGCAACAGAACATCCTGTTATGTACATAAGCCCCCTCCCCTGTGCTTGCTCAAACCTAACAAGGAAAACCCCAAGGCACGTAAGGCACATAGCAGCCCGCTTCTCTTCCTCAAACGACCCCCCCCATCATACCCTTTTGACCTAGTACTTTTCCACTGACTATACCTCCCTACCGCTTCCAAACTGCCATATTAGGTCAATTGCTGAGAATTATCCAATGAACTTATGCCACCCTATGGTATGTTAATTTTGTGGTTTTGCCCCTTAAAAGCTGTGTGAGATGACTGCTCAGGGCTCCTCTCTTTCTCGCTGCTTGCGGCAGTAGGGGGCCCATTTGCGCAAATGAAATAAAACTACCTCTTGCTTTTTGCATCGCCTGGTCTGGAGTCTGTGTTTCTGGGGTCGTCACAAAAGGGCACCACTTTTGGGGTCCTTCATTTGGGGGCCCGTCCGGGATTTGGGAGACCCCAGACTCCCGCACTCCATCGGCCTGACGGAGGTAAGTTTGCTTACTTGTATATTATTGTAATTGTGGTTTGTACTGTTTGTCCTTGTCTGCCAGGGCGACGTGGAATCCGTCCTGGGGCGCCTGTGCAGGCTTAGTATTGGACCAGTGGGGGAGACAGACGTGTCCTGAGACCCCTGGTCCCACCCTGGAGGACGGTCCAGTGGTGGTCTGGGAAGAGGGGAAAGAGAGCATTTCCCTTCTTCCAGGGGAGAGTCTGGCCAGACGGCCGCTCCCATCTGAAATTTTAGTTTCGGTTTTGTCTCGGTCTGTTGCTGCGCGGCTTGTGATTTGTGTTCTGTGTGTCGCTGTTTTTGTCGTTCTTTATTTCTTACTGTCTCCCCCATCTGTCGTCATGGGGCAACAATTAACAACACCTTTAAGCCTGACTCTAGGACACTGGAAGGAGGTTCGAGAGATCGCCCACAGTTTGTCGATGGAAGTCCGCAAAAAGGAGTGGGTGGCGCTCTGCACCTCCGAATGGCCCACTTTCGGTGTCAGGTGGCCGAAGGATGGAACCTCTAACCTTGACTTAATTTTGCAGGTTAAAGACCAAGTCTGCTGTAAGGGTGGAGGGGAACGTCCAGAATAAGTACCGTATGTCACGGTGTGGGAGGACTTGACCCGGAAGCCCCCACTTTGGGTTAAGCCTTTCCTCACACACGGAGACACCAAAGACCACCAACAGAAAGATAAGGAGGAAGTTGATAAGGGTCCCAGACCTTCCCCATTTCCCTCCTCAACTCCCCTAATCCCCGCTCCAACAGAGACCCCAGTGCAAGGTCCCCCACCAACCTCCGATCTCTATCCCCTAAAAGAACTCCAACCACTGAAAACCGCATGTCCACCCATCCTTTCGGGTGGACAGGAGGACCTCCTCCTTTTGGATCCCCCGCCACCTTACAACCGTCCGGCATTGAGGGAGGTGCCTCCCTCTGCCCCGTCCCCGGACTCTACAGTCCAAGAATCAGAGGGACCACAACCCCTTTCCCTACGAGACCCCTCACTGCCCAGTACCCACCTGCGTCTTCACCGAGAGCGGAGTTAAGGGGGGGAACATTGGGCATCCCAGGCATTCCCATTGCGTTTGGTTGGGGGGGAGCTTCAGTACTGGCCATTTTCCGCGTCAGATCTCTACAACTGGAAAACCCACAACCCCCCATTTTCGCAGGACCCTCAGGCCCTCACGGGCCTGATTGAGTCGATTCTGTTAACCCACCAACCCACTTGGGATGACTGTCAGCAGCTTTTACAGGCCCTCCTGACCACGGAAGAGTGGCAGCGGGTTTTCACAGAAGCCCACAAAAATGTGCCGGGGGATGACGGCCGCCCCACTCAGCTACCTAACGAAATTGATGAGGTGTTCCCGCTGACTTGACCGAATTGGGACTTCAATACGGCAGCAGGTAGGGAGCGACTCCATCTCTATCGCCAGGTTCTCCTGACAGGTCTCCGGAGGGCAGGAAGACGCCCCACCAATTTGGCCAAGGTACGTGCGATTGTGCAGGGTAGTGAGGAAACTCCGGCAGGATTTTTAGAAAGGTTAATGGAAGGATACAGAATGTATACTCCCTTTGACCCACAGGCCCCTGACCTGCAGGCCGACGTAATCATGTCCTTCATTGGACAATCGGCCCCGGACATCCACACAAGGCTACAGAGGCTGGAGGGGTTGCAGGGGTATACACTGCCGGACCTAGTCAAGGAGGCAGAAAAGATTTTCAATAAAAGAGAGACAAAGGAGGAAAGAGAAGAGAGGTTATGCAAAGAACAGGAATGTAGAGAAGATCAGAGAGATAAAAAGAGAAACAAGGACTTAGTTAAGGTCCTGGCCACCGTAGTTGCAGGGTCAAAGACAAGACAAGACAAGGGCAAGCAAGACAGGGACCAGGGAGACAAATGGAGACCGAGAGTGGAACGAGACCAGTGCGCCTACTGTAAAGAAAGAGGACATTGGGCCAGGGACTGTCCGAACAAGGGACGGCCGAGACCCCAGCAGAGAACTGCTCCGGTCCTGTCATTGGAAGACGATGAATAGGTAGGTCAGGGCCAGGAGCCTCCCCCTGAGCCCCGGGTAACCCTGAAAGTGGGAGGCCGACCAGTCACCTTTCTGGTCGACACAGGAGCCCAGCATTCAGTTCTTACCACAACTGAGGGCCCTCTCAGTTCCAAGACATCATGGGTCCAGGGGGCCACTGGAGGAAAACTGTACAAATGGACTACTGAGCGTAAGCTCGACCTGGCAACAGGGCGGGTCACGCATTCGTTCTTACTAGTGCCGGACTGCTCATACCCCCTGCTGGGAAGGGATCTGCTCTCAAAGGTTGGGGCCCAGATCCATTTCCAAGACAAGGGAGCCACAGTAGTCGGCCCCGCAGGCCAGCCCCTCCATGTGTTGACCCTGCGGCTGGAAGACAAACACCACCTTCATGAGTACCCCCTACCAGCTCAGCTCCAAGTAGCATCTGATTGGCTTACTAAATTCCCCCAGTCTTGGGCGGAGACAGGAGGAGTAGGGCTTGCTATCAGACAGCCCCCAGTGATAGTAAACCTGAAGCCCACGGCCACTCCCATATCTATCCGCCAATACCCTATGGCTGTGGAGGCAAAGGTCGTAATTCGGCCACACATACAGAGACTAATAAAACTGGGCATATTGAGACCTTGTCAGTCACCTTGGAATACCCCTTTGTTACCAGTCAAAAAGCCTGGCTCCAATGATTACAGACCAGTGCAAGACCTACGGGAAGTAAACCATAGGGCTGAGGACATTCACCCCACGGTCCCTAACCCGTACAACCTGCTGAGCACCCTGCCCCCGACCCGAACTTGGTATACGGTGCTTGACTTGAAAGATGCCTTCTTTTGCCTAAGACTGAGTCCCCAGAGTCAACCTCTCTTTGCCTTCGAGTGGAAAGACCCGGAGACTGGGTTTTTGGGACAACTAACGTGGACCAGACTTCCCCAAAGGTTCAAGAACTCCCCTACGCTGTTTGATGAAGCCTTACACCAGGACTTAGCGGATTTCCGGTGGCACCCCATGCCATCGAGGCCATCATCCGCCAATCACCAGACAGATGGCTCTCGAACGCCAGGATCACCCACTACCAGGCCATGCTGCTCAACCCTGAATGGGTTCGGTATGGGACTGCTGCCTCGCTCAATCCAGCCACCCTGCTTCCTGAGCCGGGGTCTGAATCACAAGTTGACCACGACTGCCACCAAGTGTTAGCCGAAGTGCACGGGACCCGAGAGGACCTGACCGATCTACCCCTGTCAAACGTAGTCACCTGGTATACGGACGGGAGCAGCTTCTTGCACCAAGGTGAGAGAAAGGCAGGGGCGGCAGTGGTGGATGGGGAAACTGTCATATGGGCCTCTGCTCTGCCCCCAGGGACTTCGGCACAGAAGGCTGAACTGGTGGCCCTCACCCAAGCGCTCCGTGCCGCTAAGAATCGGAGGGTAAACATTTATACCGACAGCCATTACGCCTTTGCCACCGTGCATATACATGGGGAAATATACAGGAGGAGAGGATTGTTAACCTCAGGGGGCAAGGATATCAAAAATAAGCAGGAGATCTTAGATCTCCTACAAGCCCTCCACCTTCCAAAGAAAGTGAGCATCATCCACTGCCCAGGACACCAAAAAGGAAATGACCCAGTGGCCAAAGGAAACAGACTGGCGGACGAGATGGCCAAGGCCAGTGCCCTAGGCAGTGTCGCTTTGGTGGCCCAGTCATCTGAGGCCCCCTCTAACGAACAAGGGTGGTCATATTCGGAGCAAGATGTGACAGCCATCCAAAGACTGGGAGGCGCGTACAATGACCAGCGTAAGGTCTGGGAGATCCAGGGGAAAATAGTACTGCCAAGAAAGGAAGCCAAGGACCTCATAAGAGACCTCCATAGATGGACCCACTTGGGGCATAAAAAGTTAAAGGCCCTACTGGACAGAGAGGAACTAACCTACTTCATAATAGGACTGGACTCATTAGTAAAACAAGCAACAGAATCCTGTGTCCCTTGTGCTAAAGTAAATCCAAAGGGCATTAAAGTACTAGATACGAGGGGCACGCCCGGGAACAAACTGGGAGGTGGACTTCACCGAGATCCGTCCCAGTAGGTATGGAATTAAGTATCTCCTAGTATTTGTAGACACTTTTTCCGGCTGGACAGAGGCTTTTCCGGTAAAAAAGGAAACAGCGCAGGTGGTGGTCAAGAAAATCCTAGAAGAAATCTCTCCGCGGTTTGGCCTGCCTAAGGTACTGGGATCCGATAATGGGCCGGCCTTTGTCTCCGGGGTAAGTCAGTTGGTGGCCAAGGTACTGGGGATTGATTGGAAATTACATTGTGCTTACAGACCCCAGAGTTCAGGACAGGTAGAGCGCATGAATAGAACAATTAAGGAGACCTTAACCAAATTAATGATGGAGACTGGCACTAGAGACTGGGTAGAGTTATTACTGATGGCCCTATTCCGGGCCCGCAACACTCCCTCCGCATTTGGGTTAACTCCGTATGAGATATTGTACGGGGGTCCTCCCCCAATAGCTGACTTATTGGGACCCAGCATTGACTCTTATGCCAGTTCCCCCAGTCTGCAGACCCAACTGAGAGTTTTGCAGCTGATTCAAAAGCACGTGTGGAAACCTCTAGCAGCAGTGTACCAATCCAAGTGCCCTACAGTGCCACACTCTTTCCAGATCGGAGATTCAGTGTACGTCCGCAGACATCAGTCCAGGACCCTCGAGCCGCGTTGGAAGGGACCCTATACGGTGCTGCTGACGACACCCACTGCAGTGAAAGTCGATGGGATTGCCGCTTGGGTTCACGCTTCTCACGTCAAGAGGGCACCGCTGGAGGGAGGAGGCCCCGCGGACGACTCAGCCAAATGGACACTCCAACACACTCAAAACCCCCTCAAGATAAGACTTTCAAAAGCTGCTTAATATTTGTGATCACTTACCCGTTGCCTGTATTGCTTATGATTCACCCTAGTCTCACCCTATCCAGCTCGTCCCTTTCTAACCCCCACGGGCCGCAAAAGCTCACTTGGGATGTGATCTCTCCTTCGGGTAGCGTGGCCTGGTCGACCAGCGACACTCGGGTACTGGGAACGTGGTGGCCTTCTCTCCACCCAGATGTATGCCAGATAGTCCTGGGACTAGATTCCTGGGATCTACCTGATCAGGAAGATATTCCCCACAACCCTTCACCTCCGTTAGACTTCATTCATCCCCCGGGATCCTACCCCGTAGCAGCGGGATGTAGAACCCCAACTCGGAGATGCCAACTCCGCCAACTAGAATTTTATGTGTGCCCCAGGGATGGTAGAAGAAAGGATCAGATCTACCGGTGTGGGGGGCTGGAGCTCCTACACTGTAAGGCTTGGGGGTGTAAAACTATAGGGGAGGCATACTGGAAGCCTTCCTCTTCTTGGGATTGGATTACTGTGAAGCGTAATACCACTGTTGCCCACTCGGGCTCCTATCTAGCCAACAGTGCCTGCCAGAGCACCCCCTGTGGAAGCTCCCTACATGCAATCCCCTCAATATTACCTTTACCACTTCAGGAAAGCAATACACAACGCTGTCCAGTTGGATGAAAGGGAAAATCTGGGGTTTGCGCTATTATGCTACTAATAACGATTTTGGGTTTTGGTTCAAAATTAGACTAAGAATCACCTCTCCCGACCCCCTACCAGTAGGGCCCAACAGGGCTCTGGCCCCTGCCTACTGACCAAGCCACCCTCGGCCTGAGACAACCGGACAGCCGGCCTCTAAGGGAATAGACTCACCGGCGCCAACCTCTAAGGGAACAGGCTCACCGGCTCCCCTCGCAAGCCTGCCTGCAGGGGAGAGAGCGATGTTGCTAATACGGGGCGCCTTTTCGGCATTGAATCAGTCACACCCTGACCTGACCGACCCCTGTTGGTTATGCTTGTCCGCAAGCCCGCCCTACTATGAGGGAATAGCTGTCGTTGGAACCTACAATACCTACTCGTCCCACCGGCAGTGCCCTGCTGCTAACCCCCTAATAACTTTGGCAGAGGTCTCAGGAAGGGGAACCTGTGTCGGAGACCCACCCTCGGCCTACCGGCGCCTCTACAACACCACTACCAACCCCTCCCTGGTGGAACAGAACTCATACCTGGTGCCACCCCCAGAACCTGGTGGGCATGCTCTCGTGGCCTCACTCCCTGTGTGTCCACTAATGTTCTCAACGGGACTGGGGACTTCTGTGTCCTGGTGACAGTCGTCCCGAAGGTGATTTACCACCCAGAGAACACACTTGAGGAGCGGTACGACGGCGCTTTAACCAGGTTCCGTAGGGACCCGGCCTCCATGACCCTAGCAGTGCTACTGAGCTTTGGGATAGCGGCTGCTGGGCTGGGCACAGGGACGGCCGCCCTGACCCAAGGAAACAGCGGGCTGGCAATCCTTCAACAGGCGGTGGACGCAGATATAATGGAGATAGAACAGAACCTCCAACGACTACAAGAGTCCCTCACCTCCCTCTCAGAAGTAGTACTCCAAAATCGCAGGGGCTTGGACCTGTTGTTTCTAAAAGAAGGGGGGTTATGTGCTGCCCTCAAAGAAGAATGCTGCTTCTATATAGACCACTCCGGGGTAGTAAAAGATTCTTTAGCCAAACTAAGAGAGCGGCTGGAAAAGAGACGACGAGAAAGGGAACAGACTCAGAGCTGGTTTGAGGGATGGTATAACAGGTCGCCCTGGTTGACAACCTTGCCCTCCACCATAGCGGGCCCCCTTATTATCTTAATCCTAATTCTGACCTCAGGCCATGCATTATAAACCGATTACTCCAGTTTGTTAGGGACAGGCTGTCCACCGTGCAGGCATTAGTCCTCACGCAGCAGTACCAAGCCCTGGCCACCAGTGACCGTATTGAAACCCCTCATCAACAGCTTTAACAGTAACAGGCACACAATTTTCGGATTAAAATTAGTTCAAAGAGAAAATGGGGGAATGAAGGGAGTGGCTGTGAGCCGCCATAAAAGTGGCCTTGATGAAATAGAAAAACAGGAACTGAGACAAACAGTTCCAGAAACAGTCTTGGGAAATGGGGGAGTAAACTGGTTCACAGAGAAAGCAGTTAGCTACTATTCAGAGATACGGGCAACAGAACATCCTGTTATGTACATAAGCCCCCTCCCCTGTGCTTGCTCAAACCTAACAAGGAAAACCCCAAGGCACGTAAGGCACATAGCAGCCCGCTTCTCTTCCTCAAACGACCCCCCCCATCATACCCTTTTGACCTAGTACTTTTCCACTGACTATACCTCCCTACCGCTTCCAAACTGCCATATTAGGTCAATTGCTGAGAATTATCCAATGAACTTATGCCACCCTATGGTATGTTAATTTTGTGGTTTTGCCCCTTAAAAGCTGTGTGAGATGACTGCTCAGGGCTCCTCTCTTTCTCGCTGCTTGCGGCAGTAGGGGGCCCATTTGCGCAAATGAAATAAAACTACCTCTTGCTTTTTGCATCGCCTGGTCTGGAGTCTGTGTTTCTGGGGTCGTCACAAAAGGGCACCACTTTTGTGGTCCTTCACCTAACTCTTGGGACACTGGCTTACCATGAATCTTAGACTTCTACTTCCCTTGCTGACTGTCTATGTGTTATAAAGATGCTTTATTTAACCTGTTGTGTCAGTGTTCTGTCTCACTGGACTTATGCAAGTAGATTGATAACCAATGCACTGTGAACCTGCTTCACACGCAAACACCAAGGTCATTGATGTAACTGTAGTGTTGTGAAGGTGAAATGAATTCAGTAGGACCAGACTTTGAATTTTTATCTTTCCCAGGCTAATAATATGCAGTATCATCCTCTCTTCTGATTCTGTGTGCAGCAGTGAGCAAAGCTCCCACTCAATCACCAAGATCATGAGGAAAAACAAATGATGCTCTACAGTGAGCTGTGTGGCTGAGTTACGATGTTCAATGAGTTAGATGTGTTAAATATACTTTCAATTTATGAAATTTTTAACTTACATTGATTTATCAGGATAAACCTCATCATAAGCCAAGGTGCATCTGTATTTAATTTCTAACCTATTCAATACTGAATCAAGTTAGTAATTAAAGTAAGGGAATAATAGGACAGTAGCTTGAGAAAAGGGTGAAGAAAAGCTAAAAATACATTGTTTGCTGTCATTTTGTGGTAGTGGTGCTTATTGCTGATTTTGTTGGAGAATTGGTGAGATGGGACTATGTCTATATGATATGATGGTTAATTTCATGTGTCAATTTGCCTGGCCACATTGCCCAGACACTTGATCAAACATTATGCTGGGTGCTGATAGTGATTTGGGTCTCATCCACTCAGTTGAAGGCCTGAATAAAACATAAAAACTGACCTCCCCCAAACAAGAAAGAGGTGAGGCATAAGATGGTGTCTGTATTTCAAGGAGAAATGTTGGCTCTTCTTTGATCTCCAGCCTGCTGCACCACTCTGCAGGCTTTGCAATGGCCAGCCTCCATAATCACATGAGTCAGTTCTTCAGAATAAATCTCTGTTTGTGTACACACCTCCTATTGGTTCTGTTTCTCTGGAAAACCCTGACTGCTACATGGGCTGAAAAGATAGAAAAAGTAGATAGGGAAAGTCAAAGAGAGACTTAAAAAGCAGAGAGAGGGTTGGCTAAAGCCAGTCAGAAGGACTGGTTAGAAGCATGGTCAGTGTCAGTGTCTCAAGACCTGCAAAATGAGGGTCTAAAAATTTTTCCAAATCTTCTGTTTTTACTCTTAAAATATCATACTTTTATTTCCCACTAACTTTATTTAATTCATATGGATATATTTATTTCAATTCATTAAAGTTAAAAAAAAGGAGCTCTGAATTCCTCTAATGTAAATAACCTTGCCAAAAACACCAGTGTCCTAATCTTCTTGATAGTGCATCTCTGTCACTGGGAACTTTAAACCTGTATATTCTGCATATACATATTTATTCCTTTGGGAAGTTTACAAAGCATTATTCTACCAATGCACTACTTATTGTATAAAACATGCTAAAAAAAGACTTGAAAAGTATGTGATGAAGAGGAAATTATGTTTCTGAGATATTTAAGTTATTAAAAATAAAAATACCATTGTCTTTCACAAAAATATTGTTACTAATTTATAGAGTAAAATATGGTAGAAAATGCCTCATTACATTTTAAAATTTACATTTAATACTCTGCCCACAGCCACTCAAAGAATTAGACTTAACTTTGTTTGATAAAATCATTACTCAGCTTTTGTGTTTTCTGCAGCTGTGAAAGATAATGTATGAAGATCTCTAACATCAAGAAATCAAAACTGATTCCCTTTGAGAAAAGCCTAGCAATCACATTTCAGTTCCATTTAGTAATTAGGAAAGGAGTATTGTTGAAGTCCTTGAAACTTTCAGTTTTGTCTCGTCTGATTTTAATCAATTGTCCTTTCACACTGTTAAGAAGCAGATGAATTCATATATAACTTTGAAAAGGGATTTTAAAAGCAACTTAAGGTTTTAAAAAATTTTAAACAAGTTCGTGAGTGATATAAGAATATCTACAGGAGACATACATTGTTTTCAACACTCAAATTATACTATAGTAACACAAACATCCTTTTTCAAAATACCCAAAGGGCTTTGTGTAGCCCTTACATTAAAATGTGGTATATTATTCAACTATGAAATGGAATGGAATTCTGATAGAAATATATGACACGACATGAATAAACCTTGAGGACATTATGCTAACTGTTGTAAGCTAGACACAAAAGGACAAAGATTGTGTCATTCCATTTTATGAGGTAGCTGTCATAGTCAAATTCACAGAGAAAAAAGTAGAATGGTGGTAACCAAAAGCTCATAGAAAGGGGCCATGTATTAGCCTGATTTTTATTGCTGTAATGGAATACCTGAGACAGGCTACTTCATAAAGAAAAGGACT